ATACTGATTTTACAGAGATGATTTTTACCTTTTTTCTTTAATTAAAAGTCTTCTTTTTAAGAACCTGATTGATTTTTTCCTTGTTTTTAGGTCCAAGGGGGTTGAATCTGTATTCACCAGGGAATTGGTGAAGAGTTTCTCAAGGCTTCCCAGGGAAGGGAATCCACATGGGAATGGTGGCAGCGGACCAGATCTAAGCTGGTAGTTAAGCTTAGAAGTTTTCATGCAGGCCCCCACATTTGTACCCTAAAGTTCAAAGTGGGGAAGCAGCCTTGACAGCCCCCTTTACCTAGCCCTCGCCCCCCGTGAGCTGGGGCCTGAGCTGGGTGTGGGAGCTGGGGGTTGCAGGCGCCAGGGGCTGTGGTCAGGGGTCAGGAGTGGGGCCTGACTGGGAGTGATGGGAGTGATGCTGGAGGTGAGGCTGGGGCTGGGGGGCACGGCTGGAGTGGGGCCAGAGAAGACCTGGGGGCAGAACAAGGATGAGTGGAATTCCTTCCTTCCCCACCCCACCCCCATGCGGGCTGACCTGGGCCCCACTGCACTCACAATTACCCAAATGTTACTCCATGCCCTCCTAGGCTGTGGTAAAAGTCACCCAGGGAGCCAGGCAGCTGTGGGGAGACCATGCCCTCCACCTGCCCTGGGTGGGAGACCGGTGTGCCCAAGAAGCAAGAGCAGCCCTAGCCCGTGTCCCTGTCCCCCAGGATGCATTGCCCAGGACAGATAGAGGGTCCAGGGCTCCCCACAGTGCCCCAGGCTTCCTGGGTAGCCTTTATCCTAGCCCTGGCTTCTGGCCAGGCCAGGGGGCAGAGCCTTGGGGGAAGGGGAGGAGCAGGGTGTGGGGCCCTATGGCAGGGGGGATGTTGGGGACCCCAATGTTCTTTGTGCCCAGGGGCCCCAATAAATCTTAATCCACCTCTGGTGATGGGGTCCAGATAAATACCTAAGACCTGGTCTACACTTAAAAGTTTTACCAGTGTAACTATTTTGGTTAGAGATGTGATTTTTTTTTTCTGAAATAGGCATACAGGTAAAAACTCCAGTGTGGATGCAGCTACACTGGTATAAATGGGGTGTTTACCAGTATAGTCATTCGTCTTCCTGTATTGGACTGGACTTGATGAACTCTCAAGGTCCCTTCCAGTTTTATGATTCTATGATTGGAACAGCTATACGGCTATTAGCATCTTTATACTGATATCACTGCATCCACACTCGGGGGGAGGAAATGGTACCACGTTAGCTATACCAGCGGTGTTAAAGCCGGACAACTTTCTAATGTAGACGAGGTCTTCAATTCATAGATTCCAAGTCCAGACGGGACCATTGTGGTCATCTCGTCAGACCTCCTGTATAGCACAGGCCAGAGACCTGCCCCAAATCATTCCTAGAGCAGAGCTTGTAGAACAAACATCCCGTCTTGATTTAAAAATGGTCAGTGATAGAGAATCCACCGCAACCCTGGGTGAGTTGTTCCAGTGGTTAATTATTCTCCCTGTTAAAAACGTTCACTTTATCTCCAGTCTGAATTTGTCCCGTTGGATCATGTTATACCTTCCTCTGCTAGATTGAAGAGCCCTTTGTTTGTTCCCCCTGTCGGTACAAATCTAGATTGGGATCAAGTAGGGTGAGCAGATGTCCTGATTTTTTAGGGACAGTCCCAATATTTGGGGCTTTTTCTTATATAGGCACCTATTACCCCCCCACCCCCGTCCCTAGGATGACCAGACGTCCCGATATTTCGGGGTTTGTCAATTTGTCCCGATATCGGCCGGCAGTGCCGGGTTTTGTTGTTGTTGTTGTTCTGCCGGTGGGCACTCCCCTCCTCCCCTTACCCCCATGTGTCCCGATATTTTCTTTCTCTCATCTGGTCACCCTACCCATCCCGATTTTCCACACTTGCTATCTGGTCACCCTAGGATCAAGTCACCCCTCCATTTTCTCTTTGTTACATGAAATAGATCAAGTTCCTTGAGTCTATCACTGTAACGCCTGTTTTCTAAGCCTTTGCTCCCTGGGGCTCTGACCCTGGTGTTAGGAAGAAGGGAAGGGTTCTGGCTAGATTCATAGATTCATAGATTCTAGGACTGGAAGGGACCTCGAGAGGTCGAGTCCAGTCCCCTGCCCGCATGGCAGGACCAAATACTGTCTAGACCATCCCTGATAGACATTTATCTAACCTACTCTTAAATATCTCCAGAGATGGAGATTCCACAACCTCCCTAGGCAATTTATTCCAGTGTTAGATCTGACTGTGCCCTGTGTCTGGAAAGGATCCAGTGGCTGCAGCCACTAGAGGGCCCTGGTTATGGCCAAGGGACAGGAGTCTGCTCTCTGCTCAGTTTACCAGGGCTGAGTGAGCTTCCGGAACAGAGGTTGCTGCTGCTGCATCCGGACTGGAGCTGGGCTGATGATTGGCTGCTGTTCCCTAGTGGGATCTCATGCCCAGCTTCCCAGCTGCGGTAGGGACCGTCTCTGGCTGGACCTAGCCCCCAGGGCT